GACAGCTTCTTCTGCATCCCTTTTACTGGATTCTGGTGTGGCGCAATTCCGACTTAAAATGGTCGTTTTGAGCTTCGTTTTCATTGTTGGTTGGGATGTTGATGGAGGCGTTGTTAGAGACGAGAGTGAAGTAAGCGTTGGTGGTGAAACGTCGGCCTTGGCCGCCATTGATTGCGCTTGAAAGCTTAGCAACTTTTGCTGTTGGCGAACCAGTTGAATTCGTAGTTTACAAGCTTGGGTTGATCGGCTGCACTTGTTTCAGGTGATGCAAGTACTTCCTCATTGGCCTCACATGCCTGCAAGTAAAATAAGATGTTCTATGTTATTCAGATTCGGGTGAGAATATTCGATACAATGTGTATCAAACACGGATACTTCGAGAAAAATAGTTGGCTTCAAATACGAGTCACGAACCTTGGTTCAGATTTCCTAGGCCCGGTCAGCCCAATGAATGGTGTTTTGTGTTTCACCAAATGAAACATTACTGGGACTGATATTAGTGCTCATCAGTGTTACAAGCCCCACCTAATGAGTCCTTCAAGAATTGAGTGAGTTTCAAGTTCCGGTACGGTATGTGTTTCGAGTGATCGAAGCGTTCTTCGATCAGTCGCGAGAGCTCGTTCCGAACCAGCAAGATCGATGAATGAGAACTTTCCGACTTTATTAATGACGTTCATTGAAGCGTCTTTCACTCTGTATTCAACCACAACCTAGAAGAACAGAGATAGTAGTCAGTAACGGATCTGTAACAGCAGGATTGGATTTGACTCGGACATAGGTATACCTGGAGAATTGCATGGGATCGAGAAGATGTTTCGTTAGCACGGGTCGGTTCGGTGATTCGGTTTTGGTTTCCTCTTCGAAGCAATGCCATCACCTGCCACAACCAAAACCAGCTATTGAACCCGTTTCATTCAATCAACTGTTGCAAGATACTAATAAAATTAGGGTTCAATATGAAAATTTACTTCATCTGTTGAATAAGCCCTGTATTGTGTAAAACCTGCAGCTGCAATTCCCTGCATTGCATAAAATCAAAGGCATACATGTTTAGAACTTAAATGTAATCATCGGGTGTAAATGTCGGATATCGGCATGTATTCGGATGGCGTTTGAAGGGTTATATCAAAATAAAGAGTCGAACCAACATAGAATATCGAATACGGGTCTGTTTGATCATATCAGACATCTGGCACTCATGTATGAATATGTATATCAAACACAGATATGAAGGCCTACGTTACTCGAACTCGAGTGGACGTGTTGGTTACTGATATGTCTGGCAAAGCTTCTTTATCTAATCTTCTCTCGAATACATATCAAACACGGATACTTAAGGAAAAATAAAGAGTCGGAATAACCTGTTTATCTTCTCTCAAAACAAGGGGTCTTCCAGGAGATAGTAAATCCCGGACGGTTTCGTTGTAGACTTCGAGATAAGAAAGATGAACAACATGGTTTCCATCAAAGCTTATTTGTCTAATCTTCGTAAAATGATCCTTTATTGCCAAGACCACGACGCTCGGGTTATCGACGGTGCCTAACATCGTATACGTTTTGCCGGCTCCTGTGGCACCGTAGCAGAACACTGACCCATTTCTTCCCTGCAACACTTCTTCCACAAGCTCTGCAGTCTGCAAATCCAACTTGCTTCAGACGAAATCCGTCTCGGATACATACTAATATAGCATTCATACCCGAATTCGAAAAACATTAACAAATACCAGTGACTAACATGGATAGGGAATATGACCCTTTAAGTAAACTGAATGTACCGATACCAAATACGTATTCGTATTTAAAACCTGCACGTAAAACCGAATAACATAAGCTAAACAAGTGATAACAAAAACTAAAATCCAACTTGAACCTCAACATTGTGGTATAAACTTCATATTGACAATTGGAATCTAGGAATGAAGCATCAAAAGTGAATTTTCCTAGCTTCCAAGCACACAGTTATGGGCTAAAACTGCCTATGCTACTTCAACTCCTCGAACATGAATGTCGGATACGAGTATCTGCAATTCGAATCAAAATGGAATCATACATGAAATCAAAACTTACGTGGTGGTATACACTTCATATTGGGTATTGGAATCAGGGAGTGAAGCATCAAAGGTGAAATGCCTGCCTTTAAGCCTCTTCAATCTAAGATAATCACTCTCATCACCACACTCAGTCAAGTAAACATCTTTTTTGTTCACAATCTTCACACAACACCTTGATCCAGCTTCTTTCTCCTTCTTCGACATCGGCCTAAGCCTTACAAACACGCGGCTCTCTTTTTCTCATTCATCTCCATTGATAGCTTCCTTGCAACTGCAGTGTCTGTACCCTTTGTTGCAAAAGATGAAACCCCAAGAATCATATGGTCAGCAGTACCAATGAAATGATTCTCCTTTGAATCATCAAAAGCTGTCGAATTCGATATCGGAGCCAATGTTGTTGTCGGAATTGTGTTTTCTTCATAATGACGTTGTTGCTGCTGTTTCTAAGAACTGCAGAAGCTTTCTTTTGTTGTTCATATAAAATAGTTAATTCTCTGAGTTTTTCCTTCAATTTCTCATTGGAACATTATTGTTTTGTTCTCCTCCTCCTCCTTGTTCTTCGTTTGATCTTCTCTTTGTGCTGATCTGAGATTGAGACCTTGTAGAAACTGGCATTTTATGATTTTCTCACTATCCAAACACGTCTGGAGATATAATTTTCTTAAAAACCCAATTGAGAAAAAGAGCTGAAAATGCAAGAAATGTTGACGGAAACTATTTTCCTGGAAAATTCAAAGCTTGGGAAAACATCTAGTTGATATAGTTTTTCTCACCGCGCAAACATTCCCCACGGTACAATTTTTTTAAACAGACAATTGATTAAAAAAGCAGCTCAAAATGCAATAAAAAAGTGTAGTTGATACGAATTTCCTCACTATCCAAACATGCTCCGAGAAGCGAATTTTTTTTTAACACCCAATAGATAAAACAGCTAAAATGCACGATAAAAAGTGAAAGAAACTATTTCCTTGGAAAATTCAAAGCTTGGGAAGACACCCAGTTGATACAAATTTTCTGATTATCCAAACACGCCCAAATATGCAATTTTTTCAACACTCCTATTGATAAAGAAAAAACAGCTGAAGAAGCAATAAAAAAAAGTGAAACGAACTATTTTCCTCAGAAAATCATAACTCGGGTAAGTATCCAACTTATACAAATGTTCTCACTACCCAAGATGGCAGTTGATGAAAAAAAAACAGTTGGAAAAGCAAGAGAAAAAGTGGAAGGAATTTTTTTTTAGAAAATCATAACTAGGGAGAGTATCCAGCTGATATAAATTTTCTCAATATCCAAACACACCCTCAAGATGAAATTTTTTAACACCCCAATCGATAAAAACAGCTGAAAATGCAAGAAAAAAAAGAAGAAGCGAAAGAAACAATTTTCCTGGAAAACTGAGCTAAAAATGAATGAGATGAGAAAATACTATAGATCGGATTAATCTAAACCGTTGGTATTGATGGTGATGACATAACGGTTGGTAGTGAATCTTTTATATCAGGTATCTACAGAAATGACGAGGCTATCGCCACTCAAAATTTTGATTTCTTCACAAAGGAAAGAGTGGAAGAAGCAAAAAAAAAAAAAAAAAGAGGGAGGGTCCTTTAGTTAAGATATATTTTATGATCTGATAACTCATTTATTTGTGTATTTGTTATGTGTTAATTGTATTTAAAAATATTTAATAATTATTTTCATAAAAATTAGGGTAAAGTAGTACAAATGGTCTGACTATAGTCTATTACTCTATTAAGTCCATCGACTATTAAAAATTACAAAATGATCATTCGACTATTTATTATATTTTAAATTCATCTTTTTCTGTTAAAAAATTGGTGCTTGTCTAAGCTGGGTGTTAATATGATGGTTGAGATATAATAGTCGTTTGTGATTCTAATATCATATTTTATCATATCACAATCAACATGTTATAGTTTAGCTCATAATACCGTCAATTTTGTAACGAAAAAGGATGAGTTTGGAACATAATGAATAGTCAGGTGACCATTTTATAATTTTTAATAGTCGAGAGACTCAACAAAGCAACATTTTATAGTCGGAGAATTATTTTATAACTTTTAATAGTAAAAAAATTTAATAAAGCAGTATCATACAATTAGGTGATCATATGTATATGTTACCCTAAAAATTATATAATTATCATAAAATTTTAGACTTACTTTATAATTTAGCTATGCATATACAACTGCTTAAACACAAATCTTTTAAGAAGAGTAGTATTCCCTTCGACAACTAAGACCATAATTCAATTACCGTAATTCAATTATGATTAGTTGGTACTCATAAATCTAAACAACTAAAATGATAATATATAATACATATTCAAAAGTTAGACAATAAAATTTTAAGAATAAACTCATATAATTTTTTTTTTTGAAAAATGTTAAGTATCTAATTACATCCAAAAATAAAAAAGATCTAATTGCACCCTAAAAAAGTTAGGTACCTAATTGTACAATTAAAATAAATTAGGTACTTGATTGCACTAAAAAATACCACATTGTAGATAAATATTAAAACTAACTACCAAAAAATATATTAAACCTTTCTAAATTTATCATTATTAAATTAAAAAAATTAAAATTATAAAAACATAAAATTAAAATATAATTTTCGATTTGTCATGTACAAGTAAAAGTGAGAAAAAATCAACTTATTTTTTTAAATTATTAAAAAAAATCACAAAAAAAATCTACACATGCAATCACATTATTTTTCATATATAGGTATAGTTATCAAAGCAAAAGAGCCTTTAAAAACAAGCAAAGTTCATGACTTGATTACCACGCAATTTGTGAGAACCAAAACTTCCTTTGAATCTTTTCTTTAAGCGCACGTTTTCATGAATCAGCCATTATCGAATGCGATATAATTCCAGAGCATCATGTTCCCTATCTCGCCTTGTATATCCAGAGCATCATGTTCCTTGTCTCGCCTCGTCAGCCATTATCCGATGCTCTTCGTATTTATCGGCTACCAACATAGTGTGTCCAACTTTACCAACAAAAACAAAAGATTCTAAGATGAACATAGCTGGATTATAGCATATGTCGGATGCACGATTATTCGTTCGTTGCATTTTGGATATCGTAGTCGGAAATGTTCATGTTACATGTACCCAAAACCTCGTCACGGATTTCTGGAGGAAGTTCTATCAGAAAGTGTAATATTTTTAATCTGTGCTTCTTCTTTAGCTCATCTAACTCTAGCTGCTGCTTTAGCAACAAGGATTTGAGCCTTTTGGATATCGACTTCGCTCTAATATCAGTGTCCTTTGGTAGTTTACAGTTCTCCCTTGGGGAATTCATTCCATGAAGGTTTTCGTTGAACACACTCGATTGCATGTCGGTAGGGCCTCTTTCATCTTTGGCCAGGCCATCGTCATCTGTGTCGTGTTCATAAGCGACCTTATTCGGCACTCGAACAAGTGAAATACCTCTATTTATATTACCTCCACTTTCATAGCTATCGTTGAACTGTTCATATTGTTCACCCAAGTTATCCGCAGATCGTACGAAAGGTATCTGAGGAGCCGTGTATGAAAACCCGAACCTGGATGGAGATATTCCACCGGCTGCTTTGGGAGAGTCAGACCAGTATCTTCGACCTGATGGCAATCTCTCGAGTGAAAGACGACCTGGAGATGCGGTTGGATCGTAAGCCATTGGAGATCCATCAACCTTACTTTCAGAAATATCAGAAGGCGAAAATTCTTCACGGGGAACCCAATCGGGGATATGAGAACTGATTTTCAATTCAATCATTTCAGCAATTGTCGGAACATCTTGATCTGTTAAGTCCAACTCCTCAACCATTTCACTAGCAACAGCAAATGCTGTATCAGCTTCAATGTCAAATGGGAAGTGGATGTTGCGAATATGGCCTATGATCATATCAGAGATTTTTAGTTATCGATAAGAGAAAAAACGATTTCAATGACTAATGAACGAAATATTTTCCATGATGAAAGGAAAAGAAGTTGAAGAAAAAGTAAACAAAGAAGGGAGAGACCTGTTGAATCTGCTATCCTTAGTTTCAAAAATATCGTGTTAAGATCTCTCGTCTGGCCTTGCACTTTAACATCTAGGCTCGCCTCGAATTGAAGATCCTTTGTATTTCCATCTGCATTTATCGTGTGAAGATGTGAGGGTCAAAATACTCGAAAGCTTTCAAGCAGAAGAAAAACTCCTCAATTCTACCTGAAATGTGGGGATTAACTCGCAAAGAACGACCTACACTGTCATTTTCCTCAACCGGTTGGAGAAACGGATCCCGTAAAAGCTCTTTAGCAGACAACCGTTCGGAGGCTTTAGCAATACATTTTTCGATAAACAACTTGACTCCAGGATCAGTCACTTTTGCCAATGATGCTGGCTTTATTCCCTGCCCAAACGAAAGAACCATTAGAATTAAGAAGCACTGTGTCTCATTTTGCATAAACGAGACATATCGAGAAACCTCCATATCACCTAAAATTTCAAGTGCTAACATCAATTCTACATAGCAAACACGTTATCAGCTCGATAAATGTTAACTCTTTTTTTGGGGGGGAGGGGGGGGAACACAGGGTCTAGGTGTTAGTTCCTTTTCTTATAAGCATGAGGCTGAACTTCTTTTCGGAACATAACAAACCAGTATTCCAAAAAAAAATGACATTTTCTGGAACCTGTTATCGCGGGTTTCAAATCGCGGTCGCGTTTTCGGTCATTTCGAGTTTACCGTGATTGTGGCCGTCGCGGGCGCTATTGGGCGTTATTGTGGTCATTTCGGGTGTTGGAGATTCTGTAATGAGCATTCCAGCCCTTGGAAATTAGTTACTCTAGCTATTTACAATCTTGATAAGGAGGCTATCCTTCCGCCATTCGCGTACCCACGAGGAGCTTCATGGGTGTGGAGAGGAATTCTTTCTACTTTCATTGGGAAGGGTTCGCCGAAGAGTCCTCACGAGTTTTTTCAACTCCAAGTAGGAGATGGGGTTGTGATTAAATTTTGGCAAGATAAGTGGATCGGTAATATCCCATTGAAAGAATTGTTCCCGAGAATTTTTGCTTTGGCTTTGAATAAAGAGGGTCCAATTTCAGATGAGAAATGAGGCGGGGTGGTCATGGAACATTCCTCTAAGAAGAGCTGTATTTGATTGGGAAAGGTGTCAATGGGAAGCTTTGATGCGACTTCTTGCTAGTTTTGTGGGTTCGGCTTCTCGCATGGATAGGGTCAAGTGGTTGGGTGCGAGCGATGGAATTTATTATGTTAAATCTGCTTCTAGTCTTGAATGTGTTAGTGGGCAGGCTGGTTTTAATTGGAAAAAGCATGTTTGGTAGTCTAGCCCCATTCAAGGTAGAAGCTTTTGTTTGGAGGATGCTTCGACGTAGAGTTCCAGTGAGAGTGGAGCTTGGAAAAAGAGGAGTCTCGGTGTCGGATTCTAGATGTCCGATATGTTTGGCATTTCCAGAATCTGTTGATCACTTGTTTTTCTCTTGTGCGGCAGTATGGAGAGTATGGAGAAGTTTTGTCTTTATGGGATATCGCTACTGCCCTCCCAATTGATCCTGTTTATTTTATGCAGGTTCGGTGTGAATCCCCCCTATCAAAATGTCGTATGATATTATTTGGGGATTATTGCCATTGGCGCTGATTTGGTCTACTTGGCTCTTAAGGAATGAAGTGGTTTTCAAGGGTAAGAAGTTTGATGAGCTGCAATTGGCGTTTATAACAAAATACCGTATTGCTTGCTGGTTGAAGGCTAAATATCCTTCAATTTTGTTCGGTGCGGAAAGTTTGGCAGCCGATTTAAAATTTGCAAAGGACTCTACCCTCATAAATAGGTCTTCGTTAAATTCTTTGGTGTGGATTCCACCGCCGATTGGATTTCTGAAGTTTAATGTAGATGGTTCTATGAGGGCTGATGGGAGCGGAGGAGAAATTGGTGGGATTCTTAGAGACTCAAGTGGTTCTGTTTTATCTTCTTTTTCGGTTCCAATTGGGGGTGGTTCTCCGGTACAGGCTAAGATCTTGGCAATTGAGTTTGCGATTAATTTCTTTATGGATTCAGTGCGGTTTAATTCTATTGGTCTTGTTATTGAATGTGATTGTGAAGTTGTAGTGAATTGGTTGCAGAACCCTTCCTCTATTCCTTCGGAATGGGAGGAGATGCTTCGGCCGATGGTTGTCTATTTCTAAGGAAAATTTTGTTGTCAAACATATTCCAAGGGTTCGTAATTCGGCAGCAGATCAGCTGGCAAAATTGGCTTCAGGATACCCACCGGGCTAAAATGTTTTCTGGTTTATTTTGTACGATGTTCTGGTTTTTATGGTTTTAGTGCTTTGCTGGTTTTGTTTTCTTTATGCCTCTAGGGTGTATTTAGGTTGGTTGTGTCGCCTATAGAACTTGCAGGTGGTGGTTGTTTTGTTCCAATACTTAGGTGCCCTCTTTTTCCTCTATTATAGGATTAGGGAAGTTTTTTAACGAGATTTCGAGTCGTGTAATATATCTATTGATGAATAATAAAATATTATTTTTCAAAAAATAAATGAATGACTTACCGATGTCACCTTCTTGAATATTTGAGCTGCATTGGCACATTCAAGGTATGGATACTCAAATGTCACTAACTCCAGCAAACACATGCCGAAAGCGTAAATATCTACGAGCTCATTGTACTCCTCTTCGTAGAGTTCAGGTGCCATAAACTCTGGTGTACCTATATCGAATCAACAATTGCTTTACTGTTTTGTATTTAAATCCATGATAGTTCCAAACATTGTAGAATCGGAAGTCATCAAGGACATGATCTGTACCAATAACACTATGTGCTGCACGAGCCTGGCGAAGGATAACAGCCAATCCAAGATCCCCGATCTTCACCTCGCCTTGGTTGCCATTGACGAAGATGTTATCACATTTCAGGTCCCGGTGAATCACTGGGGGGTCGTGGCCATGAAGATAAAGAAGGCCCTCCAAGATCTGCCTAGACCATTTCTTCAAAGCCCTCAAATCAACATGCTTATGCTTCTTCCGATACCTACAAGATCAATCGTAAAACTTTTGACAATGCCATAACAAAAACACATCATAAACACACGGTCACACACATGTAGACATCAAAACTTACTGCCGCAGGGTACCCGAAGTGAAAATCTCAGTGATGAAGTTGATATTTTCATTTTTGGTATCGACCCACGAATTATAAAACTTGATTATATTCTTGTGCTTCAATGTTTTGAGCAAATGAACTTCAGAATATAATCGCTCCAAATCTTCCGAATTTCGCAGAAGATCGGTGACCTTAACTTGATTCCATGCCACCTCTATACCTTCCAGTTCATCAAATGCTCTGTATCTAGATTCCCAAAATTTTATCAAGGATTCAACAAAAGCCATAGGCTTAAATGCATATTTTCCCCCTTCGACTATACCTTTTTTTACGGAATTTCCCCTTAAAGTATTTTTTCGGGATGTTTTATCTCCTCAACTATAAATTGTTACCCCGTTTGCTCCAAATAGTTAACACTATTAAAAATAAAATTCCCGGACCAATAGAACACGTTAAGGATGGCAAACAGACGGGTCGGGTGCGAATACCCCCTCCTCTGTTCTCATACCCACCTAATATTTTCAAATCCACCACCTATGATATGTAATTTTTTTCAAATCTACATCCGCCACGCGGGTATATTCTTAAATTCATTCACACACCCACTACCTAACTGGAGACGTACCCGACTAGACCCGCCTGACAGCAACCTTAAGTTATACATAAACGACAAATATAAAATAAATACGTCAATTAAGGAGCATAATAAAATAAACAAAGAATTATCTGAGTTAATAATTAACATAGATCTTAAAGTACATAAAACACCATAATAAAAATTATAAGTTCTCCCTAATATTTGGTTAAATTATAAGTTATATCTTATACAATATTAAGATTTATAAATTAGTCTATAAAATTATACCTAAATTCATAATGGTCCAAAATTTAATAGGTATGTAATGGGCGGGCGGATGTGGGATGGGCGGATACAGGGCAAGTAAAGTCTTAAACCTATCAGCCGCCCACTACTCGTGGCGGGTACAACTTTCTAAATCCACACACACCTACTACCTTCTAAAGTTATACTCACCCTGCTCCAATTGGAGCGGGTACTAGGGGCGGATGTACATGGCTCCCTAGGAGAGCCATTGCACACCCATTATTTTGAGAAAACTGTTAAATTTAGTTTAATTTGTTAATAGAAATAGAAAAAAATAAGAAAATTTGCATACCCAAATTTTTTTAGAATAGGATATTAAACTTTTGGACCTATTTTTTAATTTCTAGATCCGTCACTGATGGGTACGGTGCGAAATCTACGAAATTATACCCGTTTGCTATTCCTAACGTTAGATCACCCTTAATTTTTTATTTTTTATCTAAATAAATAAAAATATATTAAATAAAATAAAACTTATAGTATACCAAAAATACCCTCTCCCCTCCCCTCGCCACCTCCGCCGTAACATCACCATTTCTAACCCTCTGCCCCGCCTTTCATTCTGCAAGCTCCAATCAGCACCGGCAACCATAAGCATTTCCGTTACAGTTTCATCACCAAGTTTAACAGCCTTCTCTTCCTCGGCCAACGAGACTTCCAAATTGAAAACCCAAAGATTAGCTTCTAAATTGAAAACACGATTTCAATCATTCAACATAAGAACACTCCCTAAAGTTTTTTAAATCAAGCAAATTAAAGAACAATTCACACCCAATTGGCAGTAGTACACAGTTATTATAACTACCATAAAAATAGAGATCCAAAAAAATTTCACCTGGTTCTTTCCTTCGTCTTTCTTTTCTTTTCTAGGCAACCAAACAATGTTCCCAGGAAAAGAAAGAAAAATAAATTCAAGCACTTAACCCCATCAAAGAAAACGAATTTGAATCTAACGGGAAAAATTATCCAAATTTTCAGTTGATCATATTCCAAGAATATATGATTCAATCAATACGGACGAAACCGAATCAAAGCTCCAAGAAAAATCAACTAAAGCACAAAACATTCAGAAGCGAAAACCAATCCAAATCAGTAAACCAAGACAAAGACCAAATGAAATGTAAACAAAAGAGAGTTGATGAGAGATCAAATGTGCTGGAGAGATGAAGAAAAATAGAGAAAACAAAAATGGAGGTGTTGGGGTTAGAGATGATGTAACGGTGGAAGTGAGGTAGGGGGAGAGGGTAATTTTGGTATATGTATATGTATATGTATATGTATATGTATATGTATATGTATATGTATATGTATATGTATATGTATATGTATATGTATATGTATATGTATATGTATATGTATATGTATATGTATATGTATATGTATATGTATATGTATATGTATATGTATATGTATATGTATATGTATATGTATATGTATATGTATATGTATATGTATATATATGTATATCTAGATTCCCACAATTTGTTCAAGGATTCAACTAAAGCCATACTCATAAATTAAGCCTCTAATTCTGAATACATTTATATACGAACTAAAGTAAGCATATGTATATGTATACGTGAAAGAAAAAAGGATACACTTTTTTGAAAGCTCCTCTTCCTAAAACCTCCTTGTACTGCAAAATAACCACTCAAGACAGAAACAAAGGCAACCCATTAATGGCTACATCAATTACGATTAACCCAAATGCCAATCAACATCAGATATAGAATTAAACAACCTCTGCTCCAAATTAGTAAGTTTTGTTAGAATCAAAACGACAAAAAACAGACATTTTATATATAAAAAATGGAGTGAAATAGTGAAAGAACTTACCCGACCATATCGGCCCGTAGGATCAATTTCGACGAACTCGGCATCGGGATCGTCTTGTTCCTGATCTGAGATTGTATCCTGCATCATTCCTCGGCTTTCTCAAACACGAGAACAATATCAAAAGAAGATCAAACGTCAGGCGAAAAATTCGAAAAATTCTGCTATTTAAATGATTGTAAAATCCAGGCTATTGGGGAATTAAGGGCGGGAAAGAACCAAGTCTAAAATTCAAGGAAAAGAGAGATTTCTGAAAAGAAATGGAGATCGGAGAAGGTGTTTGTTTCGTCAAAGAGAAGCTCGGGGCAATAGGAAACCGACTGCTACCGACTCACCCTTGCGAAAATAATTGAATTTTTCCATTTTCTTTCCAAATTTTATTATAAAATTCAAAATAAAAATTTGCAGATTGTTCATATTTCATAGAATTTTTTGCCAGAGAAAGGATGATGGCGAAAATAATGAAAAAAAAAGTCAAAATTGGAGAGCACATGCCGATTGTGATCCCACGAATTTAATGTCAACTCCCACTTAGATTTCGCCATCTCATTATGCCTCCCACCAGGTTGTTGTACATTACTATGTTATTTTTAGGGTAAATTACGTATTTATTACTTAAACTTATTTTTTCAAAATAATATCTAAAGTTCAGTTTTTATTTCATTTTAGTACCCATATTCAAAATTTAACGTTGAGTTTTGATTTTTTTTTTGAAAGTTTAGGTATTAAAATGGACTAAAACTGATAGTTTAGGTACTAAACGTATTAAGTTTTTAATGGTAAGGTACTCAAATGAAACAAAAACTAAATGTTAGGTATGGTTTTTTTAAAAAATTGAAAGTTTATGTACTAAAACGGACCAAAATTGATAGTTTAGGTACTAAACGCATTAAGTTTTTAACGGCAGGGTACATCAGGTATGGTTTTGAAAAAAATTAAAAGTTTAGTACTAAAATGTACCAAAACTGATAGTTTAGGTACTAAATGCACAACTTACCCTATTTTTAAAGGCATAGTTTAAAAATAGTCCCCCAACATTTATTAAAATGGTCATTTTATCTTTCTTTCTTTTTTTGAAGCATTTTGTCCCTTAATGTTTCATTTTAGGAAAAAAAAACTCTTTAACATTTGACATAATAGTCACTTTAGAAAATTAAAAAAATAGTCATTTTGGTCCTTATTCGTTTTTTTCTAGAGCTTTTAATCCTTAACGTTTCATTTTAGTGTGAAAAGGTTCCTATTTTAGAGTACTAAACATGTGTTAACTAATAGTTTCAACCCATAAAATACTTTTTTTAATCTAAAATAAAGTATTGAGGCCAAAATACTCAAAAAATATGATCAAAATGACTATTTTGACGAGGGCTAATTTTAGTAGTATGAGTTTTAAAACAAGATAAACCTATAAATTTCATCATTCAACATTCATTGTATTCTCTTTTTTAATAGATTTTAATAAAATTCAGTTTGATCACTCAACTTTGATATTATCCTTTTACTACATTATCATTAATTATTCGATGTATAGAGGATCTATCTATTCTTTTAGATTTGTCAAACCTTATTCAAAATGATTAGAGAAGATATCAAAGAATAACAGTGTCCACAATGAGAAAAGATAGAAATGGAACTCTAAAAGTTTTAGTTGTTATGAATAGGATGAAATGGAGAAAAAAATGAAGAAAAAAAATTAAGAAAAAAAATAAGGTGACTTATGTGTCAGTAGATAATATCCCATTCGGTAAAAAATAGGTCATGTCACCTTATTGTTTCTAATTTAATGTCCAAATAATAAAAATTTATTTGGTCAGTTGGCCAAGTTATTTATCTTTGTTCCCTCATATTTTTTAAGTCATGTGTTTTAGACTCAGTAAGAGTATTTCTCTTTCCCCTCTCTCTAGCTTGTTAGAATTAGATGTATAATTTATCAAATATATATATATATTTAAAATTTAATCCTCTAATAAATTATTGTATTAATTTTTTTAATAATTTGGAATAAGTACAAGGTAATAATTAATCAAAGATAATTTTTAACAATTTGACATTGAACGCTCACACCTCTAACATTCTTGGTGCTCGAATCCAAGGACTCAAATATTTGTTTATTTTTTACCTCCTGTTAACCAGAAATTTAAGAGATGGTGATGGAAAGGCTATCGTGGAGAAAAATACTTCGGTGGTGAGTTGCTAAATCATTATCATTTGCTCACAGTTTTCAGTTATTACAATCTATTATCTTTAGTATTAATATTTTTTATAATCGTAATATCTGATTTATTAATCGATTAATATGGATTGAGTATTGTATAAGTGATTTTGATCCTCCCAATCTAATTTATTTAATTCATAAATGCATTGGCGGATCTTCGTGGGGGTCAAGAGGAGCCTTTATCCTACCAATTATTTTTTGAAATATCAATTACTATTGAAAAATATATTTTTGGAAAATATATAAATAAAATTTTATCGGGTGCCCTTCAATTAAAAAAATTATATTTATAGAAAATAAAAAATATTTTAATTTTACTATACTAAATTTCTTATTCCGCCCTAGCACAAACGCTAGGATTCGAAATTAATTATTTTTTATGTATAGTTTTTCTCCTTCCAGCAAAGGTTATTAAGAAATGTAGTTTAGATTGACCTTTTTTTACCTCATTTGTATCATTTACCATTGAGTAATGAAAAAAATGGGTAAAGTATATAGATAAAGGAGAGGATAAGGAAGGAAGGAAGGAAGAAAGAAAAGAAAAGGACGGGAGGAAAAGCAAGAAAACTTGAAGAAAAATCAGGTAATATTTGTTTTTAATTTTTAGATTGTATATTATTATATATATAATTTTAATTTTACACATTTAATTTTAGTAGATTTGGAGAGAAAAATTAACAAGGAAAGAAGATTTATTGTAGCTTTGGTAGAATTCTTTGGTTCAAACAAGTAAGTTGCTTTAGTTTTGTTTAAAATTTAGTGATAGTATGCGTTATATTTGTTTAGAATTTAGTTGTTTCCAAGTATTATTTTTTAAATTATTTATTAGTTGAAATATTTGTTTTGATTTCTGTATTTTGATTGAAAGAACATATATTTTTGAACATGCATAGAAAATTAGCGATAAGTTTTTGACGTCTGTCCATTACAATGGACAAATTGTGAAAACTGATGTCAGAGTTGTATTTGAATCTGAAAGCCCTATGAACATGATGTTTAAAAGGATATCACGCTTCAACAATTAAAGGAGATGATAAAAATGAACATTGGAGCTGAGATTGGTGGTTTGCGATATAAGTGGATGACATGTTACAACCCATTCAAATATTCTGCAATATCTCTTCGAGATGATAGTGATGTTGTAAGCATGATTGCAGTACATGAATCAACAAATACTCAAATTATTGAGTTATATGTTGAGGAGCGTGAGATATATGATGTTCCCGACTCATCCATAAACGTATTTGGAAATTCATCTAAGATGGGTTTCGGCAATAGGACAACGAGTGTGTTTCATCCATATGGATTCCTTTCGATATACACACATGTTGATCTGAATGTTGATGATGAAAACCGTCGAGGTCGATGAGGGGAAACACTTGTTGATTCTAGCTATGATGATGAAGAGGATCTTGAATTGATTGGTGATGACCCTATTTTTTGTGGTGGTGAATTAATTTCTAACGATGATGCAATTACATTCTATCAACCTCCCACTCACATGAACTTAATAGATTATGATGCGATGAAGGCACCTGAATTTTCAAATATAACTTCAGGTAACTCTCATGACTTATCTATTGGGATTCAATTTAATGAAAAAGAGGAAGTTGCATTGGCAATTAAAGAGTATTACATCAAAAACCATGTGGACTCTGTTTTTGTAGAATCCAGTCCGAGAACTTTGTTTTCAAAATGTGTTAAATATAGAGAATAGTGTAATTGGAAGATTCGAGTTTCTAAACTTTAGAGGAAAAATGTTTGGGTGATCACAAAGTACAATGGTGATCATACATGTTTACGAAGTTCTATCCAACAAGACCACTGACAAATGGACTTGAATGTGATTTGTGAACACGTAAAGATGTTGGTTGCAGCAAATCCAAGGGTTCTCGTTTCAATGATACAAGCATTTATTAAGAACCATCTTGGATATCAAATAAAATACGTGAAAGGTTGGCATGCAAAGGAGAACACAAAGAAGTTAATGTTTAGTGATTAAGATAATTCCTACAATGAGCTACCAAATTTATTACAAGCAATGCAATATTTCATCCCGGGACTATAGTAAAGTATCACAACTTGGATGCATACAATCCAAAAGGTCGACTTATAGAAGGGAAGAAAATATTCCATCGATTATTTTGGGCATTCAGGCCATGCATCGAAGGATTTCCATTTCGTAAATGGATGGTCCAAGTTAATGAGATGTGGTTATATGGAAGATACATACATGTATTGTTGATAGTAATTGCACAAGATGGTGATCGAAATATCTTCCTTATTGCATCCACAATTATTAATAAGGAGTCAGCGGACTCTTGGAACTTTTTTTTGAGTAATTTACGTGAGTATGTTGTTCGAGAAGATGTCGAATGCCTGATATACGATAGAGGAAAAGGCATTTTAGCTACAACTAAATGACCAGGAAGTCGTTGGACACCTCCCCACGTATTGTATATGCCATATTGGTAAGAATAGTTGGGAAATGTGAAAAACTACCACATTCGTCATGAAGTTTTAAGCATGGGTAAGTTTCATTCTATCAATATCAATTATATATGCATATATATTTATACATTTTCGTGTTTCTTGATGCTAATATCATATATGATCAAACAATATATGAACTATTGCGACCAAAATTTGAGAGGAAGTTAGAGAATTTGAAGGTTTACGAAAACCATGTATGGACATAGGCAAACAACATCGGAAGGGAAAGATAGGCTCAATCATTCGATGAATGTCGAAGATACAGACAACTGACAACCAACCTTGTTAAAGACATAAATAGAGTACTAAAAGGGACACATCATCTCCCAATTGCAAGATTAGTGAGAGAGACATACTACAAGTTAGTTAAGGTTTGGAGCGATAGAGGGAGGGAAATCTAGTCCATGATAAATAGAGGACAATGTTGTTCACTTGATCTTATGAGAAAAATGCAATACAACATG